GGGACAAAGGGTAGGAATTCGCGTTCATGATTTTTGGAGGGCAACTCTCTTTGTATTTGGTGGTGCTTGCGGAAAGAACGCAATAGAAGATCCTTCGTGGGGGAGGAGTTACCCATTGGGGTGATAAAGTACTCCATCATATGTACTCTTTTTTGTTGGAGCATGGGGAAAGATTGTTCTTCTGTTGAGGAGATCATGGATTTTTTGGGGTCTTTGGGGTCATAGGACTTCTTTTTTCTTGTTTTTGTTTCGTTCTTGGTTTTTGTACTAATCTTGGGATGCGTTCCCCTTTTGAACGCTTTCTAATACAATTTTACTTATCAAAAAAAAAAATGAGAACACTTTCCTCAGTCATAAGGAGCCACGGTTGGAAAATTTCTATCATGATTCCAAGAATGATTCAACAAATGATGAGTCATGGTTGTTCATAATATCGACTACCATAGAACAATTTGTTGATTGGAGTAAGCCTCAAAATTTTTATGAAGAACCACACATTGAATCTATGGATTATGATCAATTAGCGATCTTTGGTAAGGAAGCTACAAAAGAAGAAATTCAAAATGAAGGAAGCTATGAGAATGTGGCGGTAATAAGAGCAATGGAGAACAATGAAGTGTTTAACCTTTCACCAATGGAAGTTTTGCAAGAATACAAGTTTGATCATTGGTTGGTATTTGAAGATTCGAGCACTAAAAATGGTTCTTACTTTTATGATATGATTTGGGGCGAATTTTTGGAACAGAAGTTTTGCAAGAATACAAGTTTGATCATTGGTTGGTGTTTGAAGATTCGAGTACTAAGAATGGTTTTTACTTTTATGATATGATTAGGGGTGAATTCTTGGAACGCACTACAATTGCTAAGCGGTTGGTGGAAGAAAAATTAAAGTTAATTAAACTTCTACTATAGGATACGTGTTACAACCAAGTTTTGCAAATCTACCCAATTTCATTATGCAAAATTCATTATGCAAATGTGTTCTTTGTTAGTATATGTTGGAAATTGTGTCTCAAATTCCTATTCTAATTAGGATTCTATTTTAGAGTTGTATTATGTTAGGTAATTTCTTGTTTGGCAAGTCTTAGCAACCTCTAAGGAATTGCAATCTTTGTTCAACAAGGAATTGTGTTTGTAACTCTATAAATAGGTACATATGTTGTGGGTTGAGACTTACGAGATTGAGAGAGATGTAGTCTTACGAGGGAGTTGATGGGTAGAGCTAGTATGCAAGTTGGTAGAGTAGGAAAAACGCCAGTGACACTGTTAGCGAGGAGATAGGCTCGTGGAGTGGTATATGGTGAAAAGACATGTACGTGATGTACGTGGTGTTAGTATCATAGTGAAATCTCTTCTCATCCATGGATGTAGCTAAACCATGTATATCTTGTCTTTGTGTGTGATTGCTTTGTTGGCTATCATTAGATCTTTCTTATTCGCACTCTTCCGCTACCCAACAAATTGGTATCAGAGCCAAAGGTAAAGGAGATCCAGAAAACACAAGAAGTCTCAACATATGCTGCAACGGGGTTCAGTTGTAGGTGGAGTCAATCGGCTTGGTTACATGGCATGGAGTTCGAGTAGTCAAGGTGGAGCCTTGGAGGTTTGACCGAGTAACGTATAATGTGGACAATCGGAGTTTTGCAGGAGTATCGTCAAGATTGAAGCTGCAAAAGAATTGTCCTGATCAATGCCGTGGAAGCGATGATTGGCTATGATTGGCTGGATGGAATTTGAGCAAAGGTGGAGATTATTGGAAATTGTCTCTCAAATTCCAATTCTAATTAGGATTCTATTTTAGACTATTCGAGCTCCATGCCATGTAACCAAGCCAATTGATTCCACCTACAACTGAAGACCGTTGCAGCATATGTTGAGACTTCTTGTGTTTTCTGGATCTCCTTCACCTTTAGCTCTGATTCCAGTTTGTCATAACAAACTGGTATCAGAGCTTTCGGTTCGAAGCAGGGATGTCATCCAAGTTTCTGGAAATCGAGAAGTTGAACGGAATAAACAATTTCAACCTGTAGCGGGTTAGTATGCAGGCTTTGTTGGTTCAACAAAGGTTATCCAAGGCGTTGAAGGGGAAGGATGCACTGCCAGAAAAGATCAAGGACAAAGATGAGGTTATGGAGAAAGCACACAGTACGATTTTGTTGTGCTTGAGTAACGAGGTTCTGACAGGAGTAGTTGGAGATTGTGGAGCTTGGCATAATTCGAGCCACGGTGGAGATTTGTGATATTGTGGCCCGAATTTGGTGTCGGGTCGCGTTCCCGTCTATACCCCGACAACCAATTGGATGAGCCCCGATGAATATTTTTGACCCGTTTTTTGCTCATGAGTCGTGGACCCTAATTAGTTTCTTGTAGCCCGATATATAAGGGCGCTTAAGGTTTGGAGTGGTGGATAAGAGAGAGAGACAGACATTCGTACAGAAAGAGGCTAAAACTTGTAATCTCTGATTTTACACACAGTGAAAACTTTCGCCGGATCCCAACGGTAGATGTAGGCTGTTGCCGAACTAAGTATAAATCTTTGTGTGGCGTGCTTACTTTTCTGTCATAATTCTTGATTCGACTTGGGTTTGTTGTGTTTGTCATGCTAGTATAAGAAGATTATTGTATTTGATTCAAGTTTGGAAAAGAAGAAAGAAGGAATGGAACGTCATGCTCATATTTTTTATTGATCATGGAAATTTGTTTCTAACTCGAGAATGAGTTTTCTCTCACCTGGAGGGACTGATGCAGTAAAAATGGAATAGGACTTTCTTCAAACAGTTGAAGATCCTAAGAAGACGGACTAAGATCGCATTAATAGCGGCAGCATTGTTTATTGGGTTTAAGTCATTTAGTTAAGTCACAAATCTTTCTTAATTTTTTGTTTAATATTTTCCTTAAGCTTTAGTTGGGATAGTTTTGTCATTTCGCTTCTATTAAGTGAGTCATGTGCCTATTAAGTGAGTCATGTGACCACTAAAGGTTGTTTTGTCAATTTTAACATCTTTTATTCTGCTGGACAGAATAGTAGCCGTTAGATTATATTTAAAAGGGTTAGGATTAAATCTTTGCTAGGGTATCCTTTGGGGCTTATAAAAGGGTTGTTCCAAGTTGTAATCAGCAGCCTTTTCCCTTTCTTTGGGATTTGAGTTGTGGGTGTTTAAGTTATTTGTTAGCTTAATCTTGCTCTCTGTTTTCCCTTCTTCATATTTATTTGTTCTCTTTCATAGCTGATTGCATTAGTTTCATAGTGTGACTCATTAATATAAGACCACGATAATTATTACAACTTTACACGGTACCCTTTATTTTGTTAACCAAAACAAGCCAACTTATCCTAGACACTTCCACGCCTCAATAGGGATGCCATGGGGTCGTAAAGCCCTTCTCGATTTCATCTTTGTTAAGGCATTACCAACCTCCCATTCCTTGACCCTACGAAAAATATGTTAGCTCTAAGGTCACTCTATTCTTCCAGCACCTAAACTTCTTATATTGTTTTCATTTAGCAATTTCTCAAAACAAATTTTCCATCTTTCTTTAATTTCATCATCTTTTACTAAAACCCATGATTCTTCACTTTTAACACATTTTTTTGATAAGTCACTTTTAACACATTTAACATGGCTAAAATCTCTAACTTTCCTCTCCCTTAGTTTAGCAAGTTTATATAGATTCTTCGCCCCATCTTTTGTGCCTAGTTTAGAATAAAAATCGTCATATGCTATATGTTTTGCTTCGCTTACTACTTTCTTAACTTCTTTATTTACTTATTTTATATTTTTCTAAGGTTTCACTATTTTTAGTTTTTTTGCCAAACTTTATAGCATTTCCGCTTTTTTTTTACGAATTTTTTGACTAGTTCATTCCACCACCAAGTTTCTTTAAATAAAGGTCCTATTCCTTTTGATTCCCCTATATGATATCTTTTGCTGCTCTTTTAATATATGTAGTAATTTTATTCCACATTATGTTTGTTTCATCTTCTACATTCCATGTTACTTCTTTTAATATCATATTCTTAAATAATTCTACTTTCTTCCCTCTTAAATTTCACCACCTAGTCTTTGGGTTTATGATTCTCATTCTCCTTAAGGTTGTCCTCTTATATATCTAAATCTAAAACAAGAAGCCTGCGTTGTGATGTTAAAGTCTCTCCGGGAATAACCTTACAATCTTTGCTTGTTAATCGATCTACTTTTCTAGTTAAAAAGTAATCAATTTGACTCATATTTGATCCACATGTAAAGGTTATTACGTGTTCATCTCTCTTTTTAAAATAGGTATTCCTAATTATAAAAGTATATGCTATTGCAAAATATAAGATAACCTCCCCGGCATCATTTCTATCTCCAAATCCATGTCCACTGTGTACCATCTCATATCTTTCACACACTCATTTCCTACATGAGCATTAAAGTCTCCTCCTAAATACACTTTTTCTCCTTCAGGTTTTACTTGCATCAATTTGTCCATATGCAATGTTTTAATATTTTCATCGGAACAATTTACACCGGGAGAAAATCCTCTCCAAAGAGGATTTGGGTTCTTTCACACCATAGATACCAAACGTTATACTATTTCTTGAAGAGATAGATCATCCCTACTATATCTGCAATTTATTACTGAGGTATTCATGCCACTTTGACCAAATGACTAAAAATGGCATGCATTCCTCCCCTTCCGCATACATGGGGCAATTACCCCTTTTAGCATCTTATGCTCTCCACACTTCGACATTCCTCTGCACTAATATGTTGAAACAATAATCATAACATTCTTTCAAAAATTGAAAAGTAATTGGATTGACTTTCAACTCGATGATCTCATGTCCATTTTTCTTTTCCATTGACAACCTATCACAACTTTTGACTTTAATTGAAACAATGTTGGAATGAATTACTTCAAAATTAACAAGGATGATGATGATCATAACAACAACAATAACAATAATAATGCTGATGATGATGGTGCCTGGGCTTATAGCTAGGTTATGCACATACCTGTCTCCAACAGGCTTGGTGAAAATTTGAAGCAAGGTCCCCTGCTCGTCCCTGTCCACCAAAATCCCCAACTCCTCACACTCCTTAATCTGTTCATCCGTCAGCACACCACCTGCCCTGTTCTTCAAATTCTGGTAATACGTAGGCGGTGGTGATGGCATAAACTCGAATCCACCAACGGTAGTCCGACGCCTCATCTCCCGCAATGTCCTAAATATATCTTCGCTGACAAGCGCCAAATGCTGCACTCCTGGCCCCTCATTGTGCTCCAAATACGTCTGTATCTGACTCTTCCTCTTGGTCCCATAAACCGGCTCGTTCATGGGCAATAAAACCATCTCATCGTTGCTGGCCAAAACCAGAGAGTTCAAGCCGCTCTCAGTTGTCCCCACGTCATCTGCGGTGAACTCGGCAAATTCGTGAAACCCAGTGAATCCCTTCACGTATTCAACCATGGGCGCCAATTCAGGCACGTTGCCAACAGCGTGATCGAGCCTTCGGATTCCGAAATCTAACGGATACGATGACATTTCGTCCACGGGTTCGAACCCCGGCAAGAACCAATAATAGCCAGCATCAGCAGCGGGATTATTATTAGTAGTTGAGTGGTCTGGATCAGGGTTAGTAGGTGGGGTGAGGTTTTTGTCATCGTTGTTCTTTTTATAGCTGATGTAGCGCAAAACGACGTCGCCGTAAAGTTGAACTTCGGCGAGGAGGACGCGGTTTTCCAGGAGGACCGGCGGGGACGAGGGCTTTGCGCCGTGGGTGACGCTGGCAGCGAAGGCGACCTCGGCGTCTTCAACTTCGACGGCGATGGAGCGGACAGCGAGGCCGTGGGAGGCAGCGAAGGAGTTGCATGCGGAGTGGGAGAAGGTGGGGATTGAGGGGTTGTTTCCGGCGCCTGAGGCGATGGAGGGGGAATAAGGAGCGGTGAAGAGGAAGTTGAGGTCGCCGGAGCGTAGGAGGTAGGAAGCGTGGGTGAGATTTCCGGTGGAGAGGTCGGATCTGGCGACGATGGGCATGCCGAGGCCCCAGGAGAAGCGGCGGGCGGTGTTGGTGGCGTCACTACACCAGAACTCCACGTGGTGGAAGCGCTTCACACGGAACCGGTCCGACATTGGGTTGGTGCGCACGAAATTGGAGAATCCCACCAGCTTGAACCCGCCGCTGACGTCCCCGCCACTCTCTACTTTTTGGTTGCCAATCGCCATAGGTATTAATGGTTTCTCCTCTCTTTCTTCTGTCTATGAACTGATGCTTAATTCTAGATTAGTAGGTCATAGAATCGTAGTTTTGATCTCTTGCTTGATGGGCAAATGCCTTCCACCTATCTATCTTGTCATAGTTCTTATCCATTTTATCTCTATTGCTGGCCGATGTTAAATCCAACACGTAAGCACCAATCAGTGTAGTTCCGTGTCAACTAGAGTAATTGCTTATTTGTTAGCAAGTGGCATAGAAATGGACTTTTTGGTAAAAATAAGAATTTGTTAGCAAGTGGCATAGAAATGGACTTTTTGGTAAAAATAAGAAGAAAAGGCTTCGTTCGTTTTTTTTTTTTTTTTTTTTTTTTTTTTTTTTTTTTTTTTTTTTGCATTAGAGAGTGATGAACCAAAATATGAAACCAGTTTTTTTATAAATTCTTCTTTCATTACTTAGTCAAATTTAAATGCATTTAAATGCAAATAAGGCTTACACATTCAACCATGGTGACTTTATAATAAAATCTAGATCAAAAACCTTGATTCCTTAGTCATTGTAAGTTCCACTAGTTGTATTGCAAGTAAATACACACACAAATGTCTCTCCCTCGACATACACTCTAGCTCACAATAATGTGCACGCAACACTCCCCATGTCCTAAACAACCATGCTTGGACCCTATGAGCTCTCACTGCTCACCAAATACATAATTAAAGATATATTACAACAATACTTAAGTTATTACATAAGATAAGATTGAATATACAGCTTAAAGTATCAAACAGCAGCAACAAGTCTTCATTCTGCTCAATCTGTGATCTGAGGGATAAATTTGGAATTTCGTATCAACATAGATCAAGAAATGGTTCTCACAGCCATATATCTTCAATATATGCATGCACAGATGATAATCATAGTGATACAAGCATGGTATAAACAATATTAACTCGCAAATAGGTCCTATACACTAGAAAACCCTAAAATCTAGGGTTTCAGAGGTCAAAACCACCAATGACCATATCATTGTGCAAAACTCAATTTGAACAATCTTGATTCAACTATATAAACATGCTTAGATGATAGGATTTCAACTCATAGTAAGATATCAAATATATATACTCATATCAAAAAGCTAAACTAGTAAAAATAAGCGCAGATTGAGGTTTGAGACATCAAACTTGTAGTCACACTACACCCCTATCTCAAGTCTAAGAGCAAACCCTAGACACTCTAATGAAGAAAATGCTCCAAATCTAGATTGATGAAGGGGTTTTGTAGATACCGTAGTCCCCGTTCTTTTTCCCTTCTATTACTAAGCTTGAATATCAATGGAGCTAAGTGAAATGAAGCATAAAGCTTGAAGAAGATAAAGAAAATGGAGGTGAGGAGAGAGAAGAGGGAGGTGACCAAATAAGAGGGAGAGAAATGAGTGTTTGGTTTGGTCTTGCACTTTTTCTTCCTACACACAAACAGATATCACATATACAAAGCTAGATTCATTCTCCTCCACACAATATTGGTCAAAAAGTCAACATAAATGTTGGAAACGAGGCATTAAAAACATAAACTTTGGATAAAATTTTGAATAGATTCCGCTAAGAATTTTTTGCGAATCTGTAGAAGAACGCGTTCCTCTCCTCAAAGAGATGAACGTGGTATATTTATTTTCTCAAATCCGTTTCCAAGTGAATGAGAAATTAGCTCCAAAGTAAGGTGTTTGATAAGCCTAAATGGGTTTGCAAAATGTGAGAAATATTTGTCCCACGTCGAAAAAATATTAAAACCAAAAGGCACCATGAGGCCTATATAAACCCCCCATTGGGTTCATTCCAAAGCATTCCAATTCATAATCATTTTCTCTAATTCTGAATTATCTCATTCCTCTTCTTCTATAAGTGTCTATGGGTACGAACCCTTGTCTTTGGGTTCAAGCCTTAGTCAGTCACTCCTAGTCCAAGTTTAGTCGGTCACTCCGAGTTCGAGTTCGAGTCAAAGAGTATTACACCGAGCCGGTTCGCCTATTCCTTTGGTTTGCAGTACTACTACCAAAGGAAGTAAAAGTCGTTGTATCCTGGGAGATAGACGCTACTGAGTCCGTTAGCACCATAGCAGGACAAGTCTGTCTTAAGGATTTAGAATCAAATTCTAGCCTCGACTTATTTTCAGGTTGTTTTATTTTGTTTTATAAGATATTATATATATACATTATTATTTTATAATAATAATTATATATATACACACATATTATATTTTTGCATAATATTTAAATAGTAATACTATAGTGTATGGTATAGTTAGACCATATTTTTGGACTACAATCTTAAGACAGATTCTATTTATACTATAGTTTAATTATTTAAATATTGTTGTTATTTTATTTCTATAAATTTGACTGTGGTCTGTATATTTAATATATATCAGACGAATGGCAAGTATAAGTACTACTATGCCTAATGTTCCCGTCAGTCATGGGGAGAAGCCCGAAAAATTTAATGGGCAGATTTTAAAAGGTGTCAACAGAAAATGATGAATGCTATGTTGATAAGTTCTGATTTAACTCAGAATTTGTGAGGGGAAGATTTGTTTTCTGCTAATTATGTTCTCAATAAAATACCTCAAAAGAAAACAAATGTGACACCTTGTGAATTATGGAAAGGTCAAAAACCTTCCTATAAATTCTTAAAAGTGTGAGGGTGTCTAGCTAAGGTTGTTGTTCCTACTCCAAAGAAAGTTAAGATAGGACCAAAAATCTTTGATGGTATTTTCATAAGCTATGCACAGAATAGTAATGCATATCGTTTCCTTGTGTATAAATCAAACATTCTTGACATTCATGTCAATACAATTATTAAGTCAAAGAATGCTTGTTTCTTTGAGGATATATTTCCTTGTAAAAATGCTCTTAAAAGAAATCATGATATTGTTAATAGCAATATACAAGAGAATATAAACCAAGAGTCTATAGATGATGAAAATAAGGAAGAACCTAGACGTAGCAAAAGAGCTAGAACGTCTAAGTCATTTGGTCCTGATTTTCTGACATATATATTGAAGAATAAGCCATAAAGTTATAAGGAAGTTATGTCTTCTCCTGAAGCTCATTTATGGAAAGAAACCATAAATAGTGAAATTGAATCCATCATGCAAAATCATACTTGGGAGTTGATGGATCTTCCCCCTGGTACTAAAGCTTTTAGGGTATAAGTGGATCTTCAAGAAGAAGATGAAGCCTGATGGTTCAATAGATAAATACAAAGCTAGGCTTGTTTCTAAGGGATATATGCAATAAGAAGGCTTTGATTATTTTGATACATATTCACCAGTCACAAGAATAACATTCATTAGATTATTACTGGTTATTGCGGTATTGCAAAATTTAGAAATACATTAAGTGGATGTTAAGACTGCATTCTTGAATGGTGAATTATAGTAGCAAATCTATATGGAATAACCTGAAGGTTTTATTATTTCAGGAAAAGAAAAGAAGGTGTGCAAACTTGTAAAATCCTTATATGGATTAAAACAAGCTTTTAAACAGTGGCATGAAAAATTTGACAAAGTGATGTTGTTAAATGGTTTTAGAATTAATGAGTGTGATAAATGTGTTTATGTGAAAAACACTCAAAATGGATATGTCATTGTGTGCGTATATGTAGATGATATGCTAATAATGGGTAATAATGATGTTATAATCAAAATTACTAAAAATATGTTGACCAAAAATTTGGATATGAAAGATTTAGGCATAGCTAATGTCATACTAGGAATCAAGATTTCTAGAACATTAGATGGTCTAGTATTATCTCAATCTCACTATGTTGAGAAAATATTAGGAAAGTTTAATAAAGAAGATAGTAGTCTTGTAAAGATTCCTGTAGATGTAAATATTCATTTATCAAAAAATACTGGTCCTAGCATATCACAACTTGAGTATTCTCGCATTATAGGAAGCTTAATGTATTTGATGAATTGCACACCACCAGACATAGCATACTCAATTAATAAACCAAGTAGATATACAAGTAATCCAGGAAAGACCATTGGACTGCAATAATCAAGGTTCTAAGATATTTAAGATATACCATAAGTTATGGATTACATTATTCTAGATATCTAGCAGTATTTGAAGGATATAGTGATGCTAATTGGATATCAGATACGAAGAATTCTAAATCCACCAGTGGCTATGTCTTTATTATTGGAGGAGGTGCCATATCTTGGAAATCTTCGAAACAAACTTGTATTGCCAGATCAACTATGGAATCTGAATTTATTGCTTTAGATAAAGCTGGTGAAGAAGCTGAGTGGCTTCGTAATTTCTTAGAAGATATTTCAAATTGGCATAAATATGTGCCCGCTATATATATACATTGCAATAGTCAATCAACAATTAGAAGGACACAAAGTAATATGTATAACAGTAAGTCTCAACACATACGTCGATGACATAATACCGTTAAACAATTGCTCTCAAGTGGGATAATTACAATAGATTATATCAGGTCAAAAGATAATTTAGCGGATCCGTTTACAAAAGGTTTGACAAGAGAGCAAGTGTATAGTTCATCAAGGGGAATGGGATTAAAGGCGAAAGTTAATGAGTCATCTTAATGGAAACCCAACTTAGTTGACTAGAGATCCCAAGATCTAAGTTCATAGAGACAACAAAAATTCTGAATGGCTCACCAGAAGCACTGGGAATATTTAATCTTCAACCCATTTCTATGATGAGACAGTGCTACCTACAGTGATAATTATGATAAGTTATGCTTTTAATGACTTTTATACCTTGAAAATTCAAGTGGGGTATAATAGGATAGTCCTAATAAGAAGTCACCTATATGAGTGTGAAGTGGGGCCGCTTATATGAGAACTTCTAAGGCTAAGTTTTTTAGAGCACTCATGAAATACCAGGAGTTGTTCAGGGCTATATGAACACAACCATGAGAACTGACTTTGTGTGGGAAGGAACTGTGTGTTTGTTATTGTCTTGGTTTACATCAACGGCTGAACAGTTCAAGACATTATGTTCACTGGTTAGCCGTAAATCCTATAATAATACACTAGGGAAGGTTCAAGGCCAAAAGTTACCTATGCTAATGCAGTTACTTTCCAATAGTACTCTCTTTAGTATTTGTATCTTCTTCATTTGCAATTTACGCAAATTTCTATTCATGTGGGGGATTGTTGGAAACGGGGCATTAAAAACATAAACTTTGGATGAGATTTTGAATAAATTCCGCTAAGAATTTTTTGCGGATCTAGAGACAATTACGTTCCTATCCGCAAGGAGATGAACGTGGTATATTTACTTTCTTAAATCCGTTTCCGGGTGAATGAGAAATTAGCTCCAAAGTAAGGTATTTGATAAGCCTAAATGGGTTTGCAAAATGTGGGAAATGTTTGTCCCACATCGGACAAATATTAAAACCAAAAGGTACCATGAGGCTTATATAAACCCCCCTTGGATTCATTATAAAGCACTCCAATTCAGAATCATTTTCTCTAATTCTGAATTCTCTCATTCCTTTTCTTCTATAAGTGTCTATGTGTACGAACCCTTGTCTTTGGGTTCGAGCCTTAGTCAGTCACTCATAGTCCAAGTTTAGTTGGTCACTACGAGTTCGAGTCAGAGAGTACTACATCGAGCCGGTTTGCCTATTCCTTTGGTTTGCAGTACTACTATCGAATGAAGTAAAAGTCGTTGTATCCTGAGAGATCAACGCCACTGAATTCATTAGCACCACAGCGGGGTGAATCTGTCTTAAGGATATAGAATCAAATTATAGAATCTGTCTTAAGGATATAGAATCAAATTCTAGTATCGACTTGTTTACAGGTTCTTTTATTTTGTTTTATTTTATTTTATAAGATATTATATATGGATTATTATTTTATAATAATTATTATATATATACACATATTATATTTTTGCATAATATTTAAATAGTAATAATATAGTGTATGGTATAGTTAGACTATATTTTTAGACTACAATAAGGCCCACAATAAGGCCCACCATTCCAGTAAAATGCAGAAACACCCCCAAATGAAGAATAAACACACATGTATAAAATAAAACCCCACAGTATAAATAAATGACGAATGTGAACCCAATGTAATGAATGAAGTGTCGGAACATTCCAAAACACATGACTTGACCTGGGCCCACATGACCCGAACACAAAAATAAATGGAAAAAGAAAATTGAAACACGAAAAAAGAAAACCAGTCCTCACATTTTCAGAAATAATAAGATTAGTTCTATTATTGTAAATGTTGCATCATCCATGGACAGTAGATGTAAAGTCCTTGCGTGCTGTTTTTTTGTTCCATTAAAAAAAATATAAAAATATGCACATGGTGGTTGTTGGGATGGATGTAGAAGAGGGCTTCTCCAGATTGTAGCCGGAAACTAACTCTACATAAGTCTTCAGCAGTGAAGTTTTTAATTGGAGGTTTGGTGAAGTTTGTGAGAGCATCTACACCAGAATCTTCAATTCCTAATTGGCGCATTGAACAAACAGTTTTGGCATACATGTTTCCTCCAACCGAATAGTCAGATGTTTAGTTGTCATTTGACATAATCACACATGTCAAATTTGACCTACGACTTTTGATGTACAAATGAATTGTTCCTATTATTTTAATAAATGAGTCCCACGTATCATTAAAACTTGTCATTTTATTTTTGTTTGTTGTTTAATTAAAAAAATATATATTAAAAAATTAATAAGTTTAGCATATCAGGTGGATTTATTTTATATATAGACATGTCAAAATTTCGTATGTCAATTTGTCACGTCATATCTCAAATGAATTTGAAGATTAAGAGCATCTCCAGCAGTCTATTAAAATAATATTTTGTGTAAAATATACACTGCCACGTATGATATGTAATTTTTTTATTTTTATTTTTTATTTTTATTTCTAGCCGTATGTTAAAATACACTGTCATAACATCTTTACACATCCGCATCAAGATATTTCCTTTCTCCTCCCTCTTTCTCATTTAATTAACGAATCAATCATAAGTAGGTTTGTAAAAATTATGTTGGTCCTAAATTTTTATACAAAAGGTATAAAATAACTGCTGGAGCTAAAAATAAATCATCCAATTTTTTTGTATAAATTTATTTGAACAATACTTATGTCCTCACTACAATCCTAACTGGTGACGTGAATCAATAATAAATTGATATATCATCCTTAATTACCAAATTTAATATGGTGGGTGGATACTTACTTACCAAATCAGAGATGATAATTTGATTACCATTTATGATTTGATAATTAAAATATAATGTGTCAATTTATTATTGATTCATACTAGGGTCAGGATGGTATAGATCATAACGAGTGAAGACTTAAGTATTGTTCAATTTATTATGACAAATCAAATTTACATAAAAAAAATATATATATATATACAACAGTTGGATAAGGTAGAGATAAGGTAGAGTTATTTTATATACAGACATGCCAAAATTCCATAGGTCAATTTGCCACATTATACCTCAAATGAATTTGAAGATAGGGGTAGAGATGCCCTGCGAGCTTTAATCTACCCTCTAAGTTTAAAATAATTTTATTTAAGTTTTGTCACTAATATCTAATTTTTCCTATATTAATGTGATTCCTATTTTGATGGAATCCTAAAAATAGTGTTACAAAACTACCAAGGACAAATAACGCTCATCGAACTTTTCCCTCGTCTTAGCCATATTTAAATTTCAAAAAGGAATGGAGCCGACAATGTACGGCACCTCTCCGTGATTAAACCCCAAGAAAACAAGTCAGGGCCTTAGTTCAGTCTCGTTTGTAAAATTAGATTAATGCTCTCTTTTTGAGGGAGAATTTTTAGGGTTTCTGTGCAGATCAGTGTGAGCGATGGGTTGTTTCTTTGGCTGTTTCCGGATCAAAGACGAACATCGCCCTCACACTCCACTTGTCTCAGAAGCCGTTCCTTTAAAGGCCAACGTACGTATTAATTTCACTATTTTCTCTCCCCTTTTTTGCCTCTAATTGGTTGCTAAAATTGAGGAAAAAAGTAAATAAAAATCGAGTCACGTTGTTCCTACTTTACGGTTTACAAGAAATAAAGCTTTTTTTTTTTTTTTATAAAAAAAATTGGCAACCAAACAGAGGATTGGCAAACTTTTAGATTGGTTATTTATTTTTCATGTTTCTGTTCCTGATCAGGAACACGTCTTATCTCGAAATCGCCTATCGCGTCTGTTACTTTCTGAAGGTAACTTATATGATTGTACATCGGTTTAAATTTTCTAATTATACGTGAATGGTCTCAGATTGTGTTTCTACAACTCTTCAATATTTCCAATTTTATATTAAGTTGTCTCTTTCATTTTGTTCAATACGATCGTATTTTTGAAGAATTATGACATAGATGTTTTTTTTTTTGAAGGGTTAACCCGTAATTGATGATGCATAAATGTATTTGTTACAAAATTTATACAGGTTTTCATTTTGCTATAAGAAATATAGATTCAGTGGCTGCGTTCTTATTATTATTGTATTTCCAATTTATTTTTTAAGTTGAAGAGAAAGATGGCTCACCGCACAAGGATAATAAAAATCATGTTTTCAGTTCTCCACAGCCTGGAGCCGCTGATGGCAGGGAGCTCAAGGATGAGGTGTGTACTCGTTCCATGCTCTGTAGTTGCCATAAAGAATCTGTTATTATTAGATATTTTTTATTTATGTTATGGCAAAGAACTTCCACAAAACTCTTGAGAGACTTGAACCCACTACCAAAGGAGAAGAGATCCTACTAGGCCACAGGCCATTGAGATGTTTAAGATGTTTTTTATTTTTATTTTTTTATATATATTTTTAAAGATGCTTTAGAGAGACCTATTTTAGTGTATTACTTTTGCAAAAGTAAAACTCGAAGTAGTAAGTGCAAGGATACTGATTCAAGTATGAGAGCAGATATTTATGTGCAAAAATAATGGCAAAGGTTAGAATTTTCTCTACTCTTCTCCTCTACACTAGCTCTGCATTCGAGCCCCATCATTGCACTAGTCGTCCTCAAGCAACAAACATAATTCTCTCCAATATGTTTTTTTCTTTCCATACATCTCCATGCCTAGATCTAATGGTTAGAAAAACACCACATTACCATTTTTATTTAGATTAAGTTGTGTAACATAGTGGGTAGTTGCACAAGTGATGACATGACACTTTTTTTTTTTTAATAGTTGGATTTAGACTTGGAGAGAAAAAGTATTAGAGAGGATCTAAATCTATCTAGCAAAACCTCCACATTATTTTCCCCCCTTTTCTCCTCGGAGCTTTAATGTTGAAGAATTTTCTCAATATTAAAATATCTTGTCTAGGTCTAATAAAAGTTCTCAGCTCATTGTACTCTTTTTTGTCACATTTTTTTTCTTCCTCGAGCTTGTTAGCTCAATGCCATTTAGATTTAGTGAACCTTTCACCTTCTTTTGTATAAAAACAAGCTGGAACACTTTTAGGTAAAAAAAAAAAATGATATAATAATTTTAGGATGTCACTATAGGAAACACTCTTTATTCAGATTGAGAATACCAAGGATCTCGTTGTTCTTTAATGGGATTTGCAATTAGAAGAGAGAATTAACACAATGGCTATCATATATATTAGATGTTAGTGTGACAAATACTTCTTATTCTGATTGAGAATGACAAGCATCTTTTTTCTTATTCTTTAATGGGGGCTTGCAATTAGATGAGGAATTGTTCTAATAATTCGTATCACATCATCATTGTGAGACCAATTTGCTTTGTTTCTGGCATGTACTAGTTGTTATAAAGACTTAAAAAAAAAAAAAAAGTTGTTATAAAGTGAAATTTACAGTACTAGGATTTAGAACGCAATTGAGGTCACCACATTGTGCGGTTGCCATGCTAAGACTATTAGTGTATTAGGAGTTTACGACATAATTGGTCTTAGACATGTGTATATAATTGTGTTGATGTTAGTGTGACTGTGTATGGAAATTGGGAATTAATGGTACAATGCTTATATGATTTGTTCTTTATGCATGAGTTTGATAGTGTATTTGTGAAGGATCAATGTGATTTTACACGAAGAATGAGAAATGATGCTAAAAGGAATGTATATTCTACCATCTGTGTATGGGATTAGATTGTGTGTGGTTAGAAGCACATGCACCTTTAAGGTGCTCTTTCTATGTCACGCATGTGCAAGATATTGACACTTCTTAGACACTCCAAGATACATGTTTGACACACTTTAGACGGGTCTATAACTTAAAAATAAAACTCTCAATTTTGGACACAAGGCCGATACTCAGTGTTATTAAAGGCCCAAGGTGTACCAAGGCTCTAGAGGTCCTTTGGAGCCAGGCATGAGGTGCACGGCGAGGCGCGCGCCTGAGTGAAATGAGGCGCACAATTGAAAATTTAAACTATCTAAAAAACATTCATATCTCATAAGTTCACAAGTCATATCAATATTCTAAAAATTAATATTAAATATAAAAAAATAGATTCATCAACTAAACAAGCATCCAACAACCATAAAAACAAGCACAAATTTTTTTTCTTGAAAGGCAAAGCAAAATTTGTTTTTTTGAATGGCAAAACAAAGCACAAAAAGAAATAAATCTGTTTTAAAAAAAAAAAAAAAACTATTAACAAGAAAAGAAAGGAAAAAACATAGGAAAAAAAAAGACACACAGACAGAAGAAGTAGATGAACAGAGAGAAGTAAACGAGAAGAGGGAAAAAAGTTAAAGAAAAAAAGGAGAAAAAACAACCCCCCCCTTCCCCTCGCCTCCATAAAAAAAAAAGGATTGACCCTCCCCCCCCCCCCCCCCCCCCCCCCCCCCCAAAAAAAAGGACTGAGAGACAAGATAACTAGACGAAGAAAGAGAGATCTAAACAAAGATAAGAAGAGAGGAGGAGAGGAGAGAAGAGAGGTACAGGAGAAAAGAGAGAAAAAAAGAAGAAGAAAGAATTGAGGTGGCTTCGTCATACATCTCTGTAACTAGGGCTTCGTTGTTCGTCTCACGGTCTCACTCTTTCTCAGTTCGGTTGACACTTTGACTCTTAGGCTTTCTTATTTGTTTATTCTTTTGAATAAAAGTTTCATCTCTCGTATGCTTGGGCTTTCTAATTTGTTAATTAAGTTGCCAAAAGTACCCTTTTTGGCTTAAGAAATAGAATAATTATAGTTTAAAAAAAAAAATTAGTGAGGCGCTTGACAATTAGTACGAGGTGCGCGCCTAGTAAACATCTGTGAGCCTGGGATGACAACAGGCGCTAGACTTGCGCCTAAAGCCTAGGCACAAGGTGCGCCTAAAGCCTAGGCACAAGGTGTGCCTTTAACAACACTGCCGACACTTTTGGTTTATGTGCACACATGCGACGATAAACCATGAATATTGGATAATTTATTTATTTATTTTTTAAATGGAGAAAATATTACTGTTGTAAGAAGAATTAAATTAAAGGTTTATATAAAAAAAAAAAATATTTATGAATGACGTTGTAGTGGCGAGCAGTGTTGTTAAAGGCATAAGGCGCACCAAGGTGCTAGAGGTATTTTGGAGCTTGGGCTCGAGGCGCACAGCGAGATGCGTGCCTGAGTGAAGTGAGGCGCACAATTAAAAATTTAAACTATCATAAAAACATTCATATCTCATAAGTTATATTAATACTCTAAAAATTAATACCAAATATAAAAAGTAATTCCATTAACTAAACAGGCATCCAACAATTACAAAATAGAGCACAAATTTTTTTTCTTAAAAGGCAAAGCATAATTTGTTTTTTTGAATGGCAAAATAGAGCACAAAAAGAAATAAATTTGTTAACAAAAAAAAACTGTTAACAAGAAAAGAAAAGAAAAAATAGAGCCAAAAAAAAAAAGACGATGAGACAGAAGTAGATGAAGAGAGAAAGTGTTAAAGAAAAAAAGGCCCCCCCCCCCCCCAAAAAAAAAAAAAAAAAAAAAATTGAGATAGAAGAAAATTAGGCGAAGAGAGAGATGTAAACAAAGATAAGAAGGGAGGAGTAGAGGAGAAGAGAGAAGAAGAAGAAAAAACTGACATGGCTTCGTTGTTTGTCTCACGGTCTCACTCTTTCTCTATTCGGTTGACTCTTGGGCTTTCTTATTTGTTTACTCTTTTGAACAAAAGTTTCATATCTCGTACGCTTGGGCTTTTCTATTTGTTTATTAAGTTGCCAAAAGTATCCTTTTTGGCTTAAGAAATAGAATAATCATAGTTTTAAAAAAAATCAGTGAGGTGCACATGACAAACAGGACGAGGTGCAACCGAGACGCGCGCCTAGTAAATGATAATAGGAGCTAGACCTGTGCCTTGAGTCTAGGCGCGCCTTTAACAACACTGGTAGTGAGTGCAGGAGCAGTAGTAGGAGTAGGAGATGAGTCGCCAAATTACTCCTAATTTTTACACACAACACAAATATATTCATATCTTTAAACTCAACAACCATACATAGATATGTCTTTTCCTTGTACATCTTTCTTTACGGGACGTGTGCACATATCATTATATGATTCATAACTTGCAAACTTAATGTTACAACAATAGAATATCAAATCTACTTATTATACAATAATATTTGTTGTGTATTGTAGAAACTGAAAGAGAGAGAGACTGATGGAGGCTGCAATATACACATTCTCATTGCATTACCCTAAAATGAAATAGGGAAAATATATACCAACATAAGAAAGGCCTAATTACATAATGGTCACAAACTATAATTAAAGTTTGGGCCAACATAAATATATATATATGTATATATACACACATAAATATTCCAACACTCCCCCTTAAGCTGGAGAATATATATATTATATAATTTCAGCTTGGAACAGATAGTCCTTAACCGATTATGACCCAACGTTTTTGTAAACATATCAGCTAGTTGATCTTCAGACTTTACAAATGGAGTTGAGATGTTCCCGGTTAATATTTTTTCTCGAAGAAAATGACAATCAACTTCAATATGCTTGTTTCTCTCATGGAACACATGATTGGATGCAATGTGAATAGTTACTTGGTTATCATAAAACAATGGAATAGGAGCTTTGACTGTCAACCCAAGTTAAATTGTTTTACCCATGTCAACTCATTAGTGGTATGGGCCATTGCCCTGTACTCAGCTTCAGCACTAGACCGAGCTACCACTGTTTGCTTTTTACTTTTCCATGTAACAAGGTTTCCCCTACAAATGTGCAGTAGCCAGTAGTAGATCTCCTATCTGAAGGAGAGCCAACCCAATTAGCATATGTAAAATTTATATAGCAACCCAGAACTTGGAGATTGCTTTAGATATCGGATAATCCAAAGAACATCATTCCAATGTGGTACTTTTGGAGCTCCCATGAACTAACTTATGACACTAATTGCATATGAAATGTTAGGTTGGGTGATAGTGAGATAAATTAATTTCCCAACTAGATGTCGATATCTGCCAGGGTCGTCAAATAGATTGCCTTCATCTGACAAAAGTTTTATATTTGGATTTATAGGATCATTAGCAGGACGACTGCCTGACATACCTATTTCTTCTAATAAGTCCAGCACATATTTTCTTTAAGATAAACTTATACCTTTCATGGATCTAGCAACTTCAATACCCAAGAAATATCTAAGTTTACCCAAGTCTTTAGTGCGAAACCGATTTCATTTGTTCTAAGGTGGCTTCAAATGAGATTGTGACTCCTTTTCTGCCCTCTTGCAATCAACTTGCTAGTTGACATCTTTACTAAAGCTCTTTCAAAGATTGCATTCGACTCCATTTGCAGCAAGCTCGGAGTTGTAGATATCTACTCTACAGCTCGAGGGGGATTGTAGTGAAAATAAGCTATTTAGAGCCTGTCATTAGTTGACAGAGTTGATAATTTTTATTCACATAAACTGCTAACTTGATTATATGAATTGATATTTGATTAGCTTAATTTTTGGTAATTGGCTAAATGATTGTATTGATTTTCTGTCTTGGGTTCTTAAATAAACCCACATGTACTCAGGCTGTGGAATACACAAGAATTCTTCTCTTGCTTTTTCTAGCTCTTATTTTTCAACAATAAATAAGTCTTTAAATACTGCATCCAAAAATTATTTGATCTTTCACAAACAGCTCTACGTGAAAAATGCATAACTAGAAGCTACAGCTTCAATGCTAGCCTGTTGGAGTAGGATGTGATTTTCTTGTACTACGACTATGGTTAATTCAACTTAATAATCAATGCCACACTTTCTTACTTGAATTGTTGTTATTTCTATAAATCAATCCATTTTTATTATAATTTCTGCAATCTTGAAGTTACTGATTTGATTAATTTGAATTTGTAGGCCAAGTTTCTCAAAGCTTGTGGTACTTTACTTGAGACTCCTGCTGAAATCCGGAAAGCATCTGAAAAAATCGAACACTCATCATTTCATGATGGAGATTTTGAACCTTCACAATTCCATTCCTGGCTTCCCAACAAATCCATTAAAAAGCTCATCTTGGACAAACAACCCGATCAACCTTCTTCTCCTATTAAATTTTGTGAAGTATGGGCAATTGGATCAATTTCTTCAGAGAATACACCAAGCAGGTTTTCTTCTAATCCCTTGTGAATAGCTCTGAATCAATTAACTAATTATAATATGTTCTAATTATTCATTGTGCCAGTCTATAGATGAAAAGATGACCTGGCATATGTTTGAATCAAATATAAGGCTTCCCTACCAGTAACTCTGCAAAATTATTTTGACCATTCCAATTTCTACACTTCAGATTTCATTTACATGATGTCATTTTCTTATTGCTGTATATCTAACAGACAGAATAGTCGAAGGGTCTCTACCACCTCTACTGAAGGCAGTGGAGTTGGCACTGTTTGTATGGCCACTAAGATTCAAGCTCATCAGACTCGTGACATTACAACTTCATTAGTTTCACCATGGCCTGTGTCTGCAAAAATGCAGAGCAAGAGCAAGTTTGTGCATTTTGAATGTGACTCGGATGCGATTTCACGCTCATCTAGAAGCTCTTCATGTTGGACTGCTAGCCAAAGTAAGGCGCAATCTGAATCAGCAGGTAATTGCAGTGTGTCAAAGCTTTCAGCTTTCCCTACTCCACTAAAATTAACTGATGAGATGCAAACACCTGGAACTGAGTTCCCGGCATATTTACAAAAAATGGAAAATGGGAAAAATCCTTGTATCAGGTCTCAGTATGTGCACACAGTCCTGAATCCTGTTGAGAAATTCTCTAAGTGGAAGGTAATCAAAGAAGAAGATTATGACTCACATCAACTGTCAGTTAATCTGAGAGAATCTCTTGAGCAAGCTGACGATGCTACCCCTAAGTCAGAACATGATATGAGGGGAACTTTAGTTGAGAAAGAGATGAATGTTGAAGCAAACTTGTCTTCTTTGCTGAAACCACATCCAATTAAATGTGATGGTAATGATCAACCTCTTGATTCTCTTTCTAGTAAAAATGTTCATTTTGGCAGAACTCATGGGGATAGGCCTATCCTTGGGATGGTTGCTGCTCATTGGAATGAAGATGAGCCTTCTCGTATCTCGCCCAAGTGGTGGGATGGGAATGGAATTCCAAATTCGACCAACAAGTACAAAGAGGTATATCTTATTTGTATCTGCATTGTTTTCTCCTTGCTTGCACATACAAAAGCTATATTAATAATAGGATAATTTATACTCAGACCTCTTAAGGCTCGTCACTTTGCCCTTATTACATGTAGATGCAACTTTTGGCGCATGGTACCCAACAAGCTTGCCCTGTCTTACACTAACACTCCATGCATATAGCTGGCCAACGTGTCAGACCGATGATACCTTGTGAAATTACCCACATGCCCTTTAACTTATGAAAAGACGTCTTGATACACTAAATTACCAATGTAACCCTAAATACAATCTTTTCATGAACCAAATTACCCTTTTAATAATACAACAATAACCACCAAGCTATTTCGGGTCGGCTACATGAATCCTATGTTTCCGTTCCACTTTATTTAAGGCCATAGGCCAGTCGATCCACATGCTATCATGTATTTCTTTACTAACTCTACCCATGCTAACTTTGGTCTTCCTCTTTCCCTAGTATTACTCTTAATGCTATTGTGAACTATGCCACTTTTCCTAACCGGCACACTTAAAGGTCTTCTTTGCACATGTTCAAACCATCGTAACCGATTTTCTCTCAATTTATCTTCAGTTAGTTCTACTCCAACCATCTCCCGAATGTGGTCACGTCTAATTCTGTCATTTCTAGTCTTATTGCACATCCATCTCAACATTAGCATTTCTGCCACATTCACTTTATGCAAATGTTGTTTCCTAGCTGCCCAATATTAGGTATGATAAAGTATGGCCGGTTTAATAGCTATTCGATAGAACTATCCTTTTAATTGTAAGGGGATACACCTATCACACAATATACTAGATTCACTCCTTCATTTAACCCACCTTGCCTTGATTTTATAATTAACATCATATCCATTTATATAAATATTTGTTTTACACAAATATTTGATTTACGTACTAAATATAAATTTAATTCACTCCTTTTATTGAAGAATGTTCTCCACCCTCATTAGTAACATGTTTGGCTCCGACGGACCAGTTTAATCTTTAAAATCAACAAATTTACAAATCATATATTTACATACATAATAAAACATTTAATATATAATTGCACAATTTGAAAAATATTTAATTATGCTTTTAAAAATTGCAAATTTATTAAATTAAAAAATTAAACCTACCAATTTCTAAGTTACACATAATTTCAAATTTTATAAAATCAATTTCTATATCAATACATTTGATTGATTTTTAAATTTTACTGTGGCAATTTTGAAAATGTAAACCCTTAGTTAAGTTTAATTTCTCATGTGCGCATGCTGCCACATATTTCCATCACCATTCACATCATTGTGGGGGTAATTTACTCCTGTTACTCTATACCAATTCATAAAGAAAGAAAGTCAATCTTCACATCTTACAAAATACTTGTTTTGTGGTGTCTGAGATGGGTTTGACAATGAAGGCTGAGAGCAATGACAATGACCATACAAAGAATGAGAGCAATAGAGAGATGAATAAGCGAGAAGGCTGATGCCAGATCCACGATGATAATGAAGCCAAAGCCATGTGGGCAGAGATTTTTTGAGAAAAAATAAAAGGCATTTTATGGAGAGAAAGGGTGGCGTTGTGGTGATGGTGTGGACGTGAGCTGTGGTGAAACAGATGGAGAGAGAGAGAAAGAAAGGTTGGCGGGGCGGAGGGCGAATAGTGGTGGTGGTGGACAGTGTAGAGAGGGGTGGGGGTGGGGGTGTATATTGGAGAGAGATGCCAGAAACAAGAGGCAAGCTAGGGTTTGACGTGAAGAACATTTCTATTATGCAACAATGGAGATGGGGTGTATGAGATGTATTTTTGTTTGTCATTAGTTTAGGGTTTGGTGGAGTTTGCAGATTCCAATGAGCAATGATTATGGGCATTTTTGTAATTTATAAAAATCTGATATTTTGGATAAGAAAGCAATTAAAAAATCAGGGGCAATCTAGACATTTCAGACTTTTTTTAACGGCGTTATGACGGTCAAATGAACAGGGGTGTTGGTGAAGGTTTATCCAAACTTGTTATTTACCTATAATAAGAGCAAACCTCATAGAATGTCAGTGTAATTTATCCTTAATAATACGATGATTCTATGTGTCGTTTGCAGGATCAAAAAGTTAAATGGCATGCAACACCATTTGAGGAGAGATTAGAAAAGGCATTGTCTGAGGATGTTTTCATCTCCCAGAGGTACTTTAGGCTTTTTTTTTCTTGCTTCCTATTCAGTTAAATTTAATCATGTTATGTTCTTAGGAATTTATATACGTTATGGTTCCATGAAGAATTCACTTATAATATCACTGTTGTTTTTTTGGAATGAAAGCATGTTTGGTTTATTATCTTCCACAACTTCTGGAATCCTTTCTTTGAAAAAATAAAAGAAAAAAAATCTGGTAAACCTGTGTACAAGACTTGAAAAGCAAACTATAATGCAAGAAGTGTAGATAACCCTATTGTAGAGGATGTGGTCTGGAATATAATATGCCCATATTCAACAGCTGTTTTGTTGTGCAATGTAACAACCCTCACGTTTAACTCTAGAGTTTTGGTGGATTTACAGCCATCACGGCTTTAAAACGCATTGTGTCATAGAATGGTGTTGAATCTACATATAGCACTTGCCCATCCACACCCAGCCGATGTGGGATTGTGCACCTGTGGCTCGCCCAGTGTGGCAGCTTGCTGGTGCCACCTGCACACGCTGACACATACCTGCCCACAAGGTTGCCATAATCACACCCTTTGGGGCCCAACGTCCTCGTTGGCTACATTTCTGGCTGGTCAGGCTCTGATACCATTTATACCAACCCCCACCCTATCCAGACACAATATTATCTGCTTTTGGCTCTCCCGGACCAGACTTCTTAGGGGTCACCCATTCTGGTACTACTCCAGGCTAAGCACGCTTAACTCCGGAGTTCTGGTAGGTTCACAGCTTTAAAACGCATTGTGTCATAAAAGGGTGTTGAATTTACGTATAACACTTGCCCGATCCACACCCAGGCGAAGTGGGATTGTGCACCTGTAGCTTACCTAGTGTGGTAGCCTACTGGTGCCACCTGCACACGCTCACACACACCCGCTCACAAGGTGGCCACAATCACCCCCTTTGGGGCCCAACGTTCTCGCTGGCCACACTTTCGGCTGGGTTAAGCTTTGATACCATTTGTAACAACCATCACCTTAGCCAGACACAATATTGTCTGCTTTTAGCTCCCATGGACCAGAGACTTCCTAAGGGGTCACCCATCCTAGTAATACTCCAGGCTAAGCACACTTAACTTTGGAGTTCTGGTGGATTCATGGCCATCACTGCTTTAAAACGCGTTATGTTATAGAATGGTGTTGAATCTACATATAGCACTTGCCCCATCCACACCTAGGCGATATGAGATTGTGCACCTGTAGCTCGCCCAGTGTGGTAACCTATTGGTGCCACTTGCACACGCTCACACACACCCGCCCACAAGGTCGCCACATGCAAGATGTTAGGTTTTGACCATGAATGTAAAATATACTTATTACCTTTTTCTTTAATATTATAACAAATGAAATTGCAATCTATAGGGACCCGTAGTTAGATGTTTAAGTTATGACATCATACATAGTGCGTCAATGAATAATAGACGGAGAAAGCATGTATTCTCCAACAAAATGATATAAAGGCAAAAAAATTTCTTAAACAAGTAGCATTAAGTTTAGACCTTTGGCTGTTGAAAAGATGCAAGCTGAATAAGAAAACTTAAATGGTTGTTTCACCATCCACCTCTCCCCCCCCACCCCATTTTCTTTTTGCTCACTTTGGTTTGTTTTGACTATAAGATTTTGATTTCTAAAATTATGAATAGTTTCATTTGATTTATAGGAAGCATATCAACGGGGAGCCACCTATTCATTGTGATGAAAAAGAGGAAAGTGATACTGCTCAATCTCGGTTGCAATCTGCGACACATTTCAGTGAGGACCACAAGGTGGTTTCATTATGATGAATGCCATACATTATCATTGTCCACTGTGTTGTAAGTTGGTTTAGATGTGTCGCTTTTATGGATTTATTCTTGGAATTTATATTTGAAGCTTGTGTCATGAACCATTATGATTGGTTTGCCCGAATTCCTAGAACTATCTAGCTGAAGATGGAAGTTCTGCTTCTCTGTGTAGCTTTGTGTGAAGCATGAGGGGGATGCTTGCAATGTACATAGGCAAAACTGTGGCCTCATGTTTTTTAATTACCTTTTCCTCTTATAAGTTTCAGCTTTGTTTTCATGCATGTGTAGATTGCTTATGAAGGAATATTTTATGTTTTAATTTATTTGTGGAGCTTGAATGTCATACAAGTCTACCACATTTTCTTGTTTTTGGGGAGGGTACAATGATGTGGATTCTATTCTACCGATTGACTAATGTCATAGAAGGTCATATATTTATGGATGTGCATGACAGTTTTGCAAATTCAATTCTTATGGTGAAATTGCTAAAACAAGAAATTACTTAATATGGTTATTTGCTAGTCATTTGCCCATACGACATGTATTATTCGTCACTTCACAGAAATGGAATTGAATTCGGGTTTGTTACCCTTGGGCTACATGGCTGCAGTTTGGTCATTTGATTGTAAACCCACGAAATTGGTATTGAATAGAATATTTGGAGGAACTTGTCTTGTGCTTGTGTTAGAATGGAAACTTATTTTACACCCATCTATTAACTTTTTGTAGGTTCGAAGTTTCAATGATCGAAAGTTAGATTGACTTCTTGTACTCTTTCAGTCCCAAAATTCTTGTCGCTCTTCTTTTTTTTTTTTTGGATATCTCAAATCCATGTCTCATTTGAAAAGTCAATCTGGAAAATGTTTTTGTTTTGCAGATATCATAAAATTTTAAAAACTTTTTCCAATCAAAACAAATTTTAAACGTAAATGAGTAGTTTTGGAACTTTTTAAACTTTTCTCGTGCTGTCTCTTACCTTATACAAACTAATCTTTTACATAAAACAATAGAAAGCAGATTTCATAGTGTTGGTTTATCTACGAGTGAATTGGGCATTGGCGTGTGTGATTGTGATTGTGATTGTGATTGTGGAATTGAAATGGGGTTCGAGCGTTGCGGTGAAGTACATGTTTTGTGAGGGGTATGAGAGGTGTGCCCTTGTCTTGCTTTTCGATGCTTTGATTGGCCTTCGGGTGAGGGGCAGTGCAATGACAGAGGCGGCAAAATTGGATGGTGTTAGCGATGGGTGGAAGATTTGGGCATTCATTGGGCAGATTGTGGTGAGAAGTGGTTTTTGGGATTTGGAGGTTGAGTAATGCTATTAATAGAACCCTCTCATGACAAATTGACCAGGGTTATGACCTCTCTATATTTAACTACGGATTGAAAGACATATAAAATGATTCATTTAACTTTTCACAAATTGTAAAAAACATTTTCAATATAGTGGTTTATGGAGAGCTGGTGACACTTGCCATTTTGCCATGGTAGAACTCTCTTAATGACACTACTCTTGGGGAGGAAATAAATTCTGATCTCTAAAAGGTTTTGGCTAAACTTCTGAAAGATACTAAAGAGTTTGAATTGCCTTTCATGCTACCAGGAAATGTGCTAGATTCAGGATTAAAAAACCCCGGCTGGTTTTGGTATGTATTGCTATTTCCGGTCAAACTTTATTTTGTTTGCACATATGAAGGTGCTGAATTTCAGTTCTTATCATATTTGCGAAAAAAAAAAAAAAAGACCGTTCTTGTCCCATGGAGTGTCGTTGTGAGTGGGTTTATTCGTTTCATTGGTTTTTGCTTGTGCTCAATTTGTTCCTTTTCAGTTCTTGGGAAGTTTAATCTGGTACTATTTGATCCCAACTTGTAGGTGTTTGCGCATCTGCTGGTTGATACAAAGCAAATACTGATAGTTACTGTTGCAGCTACATTTTTCAAACCCACCCATTTTGTGTTAAAAAAGAGACAGAGCTGAGTTAGATTGAGAGAGATCGGGAGGAGGAAGAAAATTGAAGAGAGAAATATATATATGCTATATATAGTTGTAGAGGAACCTATACTTAGCATACACAAGAATATAAGTTACTTGCAAAAACATTACTTGGCTTTCCAAGAAGGATTAAGGGGGGAATCTCAGTGAAAGACACTGTGCAAGGGGAAGTGTACTTATGTTATCCTCTTACTCGACGATCCTATTGGAGAGGGGAATTGTAGGTACGGTAACATATTGCACAAGGCCCTTGGCACAATCACGAGTCATAGTCAACCATTACTCATTTGACATAGGGAGACGCCTCTAAGTAGGGAACTCTACTTATCTCTAACTCTTACAAGACAGTCATATAGAATGTCTGCGGAAATCAAGTTATATAGCGAACCCATGACTTAGAGCTTCACCCAAGAGGTATCGACTATGGCAAGAGATTATGTAATAGAGCATGTCAGTGACACTCAATAAGGTAGTAACATGTTCTGTGACACAATACTATCCACCAAGTATCACTCTCACGGTCTAATACATAGATCAGGGAGTTACAATGTTGGTGTGCAACATCCTGTAACTCAGGCATTCATGGTCTGTCGAAGTGTTGCAGCATGTCACGATCCCAAACAAGAAAAGGGGTATGTGGTGGCATGGAGATTTGAAAGAGGGGCTTGCTGGGTGTGTCACATAACCATGATAAGTTGTGTTAAGACATGTTTTAGCACGTGCCCAGACTCTTATAAATAAGGGTACCCGGTGACGCGAGGAACAACTTTTTCAGAAGCTCCATTCCCCTTCATGCACTTGTGACATTTTTGCCCAAATTCTCTCCCTTGCCATTATAGCTTTCTTTCCTCAATCCGGTAACTTTTTCAGTCACTCTTGATCCACTCAGGCTTTCCCAAAACTTTATTTTTTGGAATCCATAAGTATATGCTTAAGGGTATTTTTGAAAAGGGAAGAGGGTATTAAGGTTTTTTGGGTGTCAAATATGGCACGTGACATGCACATGATTGACTAACGGTCTTTAGTTAAAGGGTAGTTAATGGCAAAACCAAGAGACTTTATACACAACTCAGTGTTATATGCTCAATATCTATACAACGAGGGTGCTTTTTGTAATTTGTGCAAAGATTTCACTCTTCAGTTAGACCGCCCAAATTATAATGTGTGGAAAAGTTTTTTGTACTCACACAGAAGCATGGCCTTATTCAGGTGTCCTATAGCTCTATTATTAGGGTAGAAACTCTTAAAAATACACCTTCAAGTATTCAAATTGGCACCATGCCACCTACTTGTTTTTCAGTGCCCTATTCCTTTTGTTTACACATTGGCAATAAAATAGACTTGAAGCCCTGGGTCTTCACCAGGGGCCTACAAATCAGCAGTTGCACCAAATCTATCCATGGAATATAAAGCGTTCCTCAATTAACCCTTTAAGTTAACCACTACTAGAAGTGAGCATGACTCAAAGGCCTTGAGTATTTGAATATGGAAATCATACTGAAATTGCAACAGTCAAAGTCAAGAAGGATGCAACTCCATCGACCGAAACCACCGGAGGTGTTTCCACGGCAGCCACCCGGGATCCAAGTCGTGCAGCAGTTTCAGTGTATGGAAAGGGGGACCTTTTATGCATTATGCAGACTATCTTCTTCAGACAGTTTCTTTCAGTTTTTGTTTATGGAAGGGGTGCAATACTTTGAGCACCCCGCTCTGATCGCAATTCTGATTTTGAGTATTGCTTTGAACCTTCGCTCGAGTCTTAGAAAGATGTAACAACGAATACAACAATGGTTGTAGTATCAGTTACTCCTCGCTTCTACTGAAGCAGCCGCCAAGGCCAAAAGTGTAACAGAGGTTTCAAACGATTTGCTATGATGATAAGGTAGTGTACCACACATTCAAGTTGTGTTTCACATTGTTGTTTCTTATGTGATTATTGCCCAGTTTCCAGAAAAGAAGCAGCTTGTTTTTCTCGAACATATATATTGTTATTTGTTGCAGCATTTATTTATCTTTATTTAGCCAATGGAACACTAGCGATTTAATGGGACAAAAGAAATCAGGCAAGTGTTTCTGAATCAATAAATCAGGATATGAATTTGTTTTGCTGCCTAAAACCAAATTTCACATCCACCTGGCAGCCTCATTCTATAGGAAACCGCTACACCCCATTGAATCTAAGTACTAATGTTACAGATCTTCCTGAGACTACATGGAGTGCTCTCAACTTGCAATAAAAGAATGAACTGCCTACACTGCTTCAAACCAGGTAAACATGTACCATGTTGGGAGTTTAATGGTAGGGGGTGAGTACTTCCACGTACAATTACAGGGTCTAAGAAGTGAAAACAAGGTTTACTAATTATGAGATTTATATCAACATGTGACTATTCTAACCAGCCAGAAATTCTTAGGCCATTCATGACTCTGAAACATACGAATGTGATTCAAAAGTTTGTATATTATATCTTCAACAAAAGTGATCAATTTTCTCACAGTTAGACGGAATTTTTGCACTCAACCATCGTAATACTATGTTTATTGTGAAGCTCTGGAAAATTTCAATAAATTGCATACTCCCTCCAGTAAAGAAGTATGTCATTGACATCAATCAGCACACGGATAGAGCTTAATCATGAATGAACAACCAGATACAGAACTAAAAGGTAAAAGAAAGTTGCATTCCTTTGTGTCAATCCTTACATTTGGAGATGGTTTACTCTTTAAGCTGTAAAAGTGAATAAATTAAGGCTGATGGAAAGAATTTACTTCTCCTTGCCCATTGTGGGTATTAACTGGTAGGCCAACAACAGGTATATCTAAGCTGCTCCCTTCTATCTCGGCGGCAATCTCTCTCACATCGGCTATCCTTGCATCTGTTGCCTGAATGTCACTCCATCCACCATCTTCAATTGGCTGGATATTGGCTTGCTCCACTGCCAAGTGGACAACACTCTCCCCAGAAACCGGGATTGCCCTAACACTCAAACATGCTTTGTCCACATTCTCCCCTGGAGGATCCACATGCTTCGTCAGTGGTAGAGCATTTCCAATATCCGAGCAAGACTCAGCTTTCTCCTCAAAAACTTGCTTTGTATCAACCTGTTGCCTGTTAACAGGAAAAATGATTGATCTATAACTTTCTTCAGCCTTAAATATCAAACCTTACAAGTAAATATCACTTTCATAGTAGTGATGTCATTACCATACCATTATTTAAATCTGGAAAATCCCTCTTTTCTAAGCCAAAAATTACAGGGAGTTAAAAAAAGAAGGGGTGGGAACAAGACGTGGGAAGGTCGCAGGGGATTGAATTACAAGAGAACCAGAGTAGCCCTTTGTATTTGAGAGTATAAGAATACTCCCATCTATGCAGAGTAGCTCTCAGTATTGCAGAGCCTCTCGTCTATATACTATAAACTAGTGAGAGTACTCCCTGCACAAAATGGAGAGGAATTAACTAAGAAGGATCCAGACCTTGCTTCTTAATGAAGTAACTAGATATTCCTCACCTTAATAATTCACAATTTGATATAGGGGATAAATCATATCATTGCAATCATATCAAAATGGAAGCCTGTGAAATCTAATTGGAGATATCAGACTGCAAACTAGAAACGGTATCCAAGTATTCTCCCACATTTACCCTCTACTAATTTATATAGTTTGGTCAAACTCTGCAGCATTGACGTCCCCAACAATTTCACTCTCCCTTCCCCCCTCATTCTTGCAATGCTTGATTTACATCACTGTACTTGAAAATCAGTTTTTCATTCAAAACAGGAATACCTCATACCTGTGTCCCAAAATATGTTAATGTAAAAAAAGAAGTTAAAAACTGCTCCATCCATATTTTGGCATGGATCAGATCATAAACCTTTGAAGTTGTGCTTGTAACATATTCACATATGCCAGAAGGTCTTGCTTCTCCTTTGCAGCAACTGCCTCTTTCTGTGCAGCTTCCTTTAATTTAGCTTCAGCATCTGCCTCTGCAACCCTGACCTTCTCCTCAGCTCTAACAACAGCTCCTTCCAATATCACAACACAATCTCTAGCTTTTGCAAGCTCAGAACGCCATAAATGTGCCTCCTGTATAGCAGAGTCTCTCTGCTTGATCAGTTGATCTTTTTCCTTACCTAGAGCCATAACCTTTTCTTCAGACTTCCTTAGCTACAAATTAAAATGAAACCTCTAATTAAAAACAAAATCAACCACAAATGTCAAAAACTCATGACTGCATAAGAATGTTCATATCATACACTGACCAGTGCAGAAGATGAGAATATATTTGTACCTTCAACATGGATGTTTCTAGCTGCTTTTCTGAATCATTTTTTAAGTGCTCAATCTCTGCACAAGCTATTCTCCTTTGCTCATCCATGGTATGAGCTGCAGATGCCGCGGCTTCAGCGGCTTCAGCAGTTTCAGATAGTTTCTCTGCTATCTCTTTTATTGTCGAATCCCGAGCACGAAGGTCCCTTGCCAAATGTTGGAGCTCTTCATCCTTCACTCTTAATGTTTCCTGAAAATAATATATATATATATATATATTTCCATAAAATACTGCAAGCATTTGGAGTAACTAGACATCTACCAACAGGACTAGACTTATTTATTTATTTATTTATTTTTATTTTTTTCAATTCCAGGTAAGGAACAGGACTAAGATTAATTTAAGAGATATAATAATAACTACAGCCAAGGGCTGTGATTAGCTAACTGGGGCAGGCCAGGCTGAGCCTTGCTCATAACATATACTTACTAGTGCTCCCACACCAGGCCACTCGATATTTCGGCAATGAAGTGCTGCCCAGCCTCGAGGCATATTTAAGGTCCAAGACAAAATAATATGGTGTTTGTCAACACGAATTAACAGAAACATGTTTGAATATCAGTGGAAACTTCTGGATAAAAGATATTCTTAGGACTCATGTTTATATCTGTTGGAGTAGGATTTATCTTATTATTGAGGGTGATATTGTCCTTACCTCAGTTTATTAGTTTAGGGATTATTATACTATGTATTGTATTGTACTCTCCTGTAACAATCGAATATACACGACTGGATTTTTTCTCTCCTCTTCTCTGCACAATATTAACGTGGTATCAGAGCAGGACCTTCAATAAAATCTGCAACAGACTTGAAGTTCTGTGCTCGACTATTCTTTACATCTCAATTGCATAGTTCGCAATATCATCGCAGTTTGCAGTTCGCTCCCTCATCTCTGTTTCAGCCGTACTCATTCTCTGTTTGAATCGCACAATCTCAGTTCATGACGTCATTGCAGTCTGCATTACAGTTGAAATTGCTATCTCATTGCAGTGTTGAGGTTTCTTCTCTGTTTCTTCAGTTTTCAAATTTGGAGTTTCGGTTTTGCTGTTCGCCTTTGCATCGATTTCAAATTAGAATCAATTTGCATTCTCGACTTTGCAGCAACATGTTACATCAAGTTTGACTCATTTTGAGTCGGCCCATATTGCAGTTGCACCAATAGCATCAATCGCAACTCTTGGCTACAGTAGTTGACTACATGCATCATCTGTTTGCAGCAAGTTGACGATCTCGACTCTGGTTCTTTAGTCACATCTTGGCTGATTTTTCTGATTTACGTATTAATATTTTGTTGGGTTGACAAGATATTGGTTGAATTCCTGATACTCAAGACTGTTGCAGTAATACTCGGTTGATTTATTTTTCGATGGCTATCAGTAATACATTCTCTTCAAGCTCCTTCAGTCTATTCCTCAGTAAGTTTGTCCTCTTCAGCTTCTCCAGGTATATCTCAGACCACCTGGGTGTTTGACTTTGGAGCTACACACCATATGACGAGTGATTTTTCTTTGTTCACATCTATTTTCTCTCCTCCTTCGGCTACTTCAATTTTTGCTGCCAATGGTACTACTATGTTATTAGCTGACATTGGAACTATACTCTCTCCTCATTTGTGTTTTCTCGGTGTCTATTGTGTTCCTCAACTTACTTTGAATTTAATTTTTGTTAGTCAGTTGTTTGATTCTGGGTTTTTTTATGTTTATTTCTCTTCAACTAGCTGTGTTGTGCAAGATTCTCGTTCCAAGAAGCAGATTGCGACAGGCCGTAGAGGGAGGATTGTTTGTTTTAGAGGAGCTTCTTCTGTTCACCTGTCTTCTTTTTGTTTTAGTCCGAAGTCCTCTAATTTTTCTGATGGCATTCTCGTCTTGGACATTTTCTGGTTCCCTTTAGTCTTCAATGATGTTTTGGGGAATTTGCAAAGTCATAATATTTCTGATTGTAGTGGTTGCAGACTTATAAAATTTTCTGCTTTACCCTTTAACAAGAGTGCTACTACTTCTATGGCGCCTTTTGACTTAGTTCATTCAATGTGTGGGTATCTGCTCCTATTCCTACTAAAGGAAGGTCTAGATATTATGTCTCTTTTTGATGATTATAGTTGATATTGTTGGATTTATATTATGAAACATCATTCTGAATTCTTTTCTATGATCCGCACTCAATTTTCATATAGTTCTTTCTTTGATTTGTTGAAATCTGATGGCACTATTAAGCAATCTTCCTGTGTAAGAACTCCTAAGCAGAATGGTGTTGCTGAGCGAGAGCATCGGCACAACATGGAGACTGCTCGTTCCCTTCTGTTATCTGCTCATATTCCCAATAGCTTAGTGGGGAGGCTGTTCTCACTGTTGTTCATATAATAAATAGAATACCAACTATTGTTACCTATAAGTTTTTGGTTGCACCTGTTTTCTCCTTTTGAATGATTATATGGTAAGCCCCCAGATTATTTTTCCTTGAAAGTTTTTGGTTGCACCTGTTTTGTTCTTCTCCCTCAAGCAGCTCGTACTAAATTATCTGTACTTTATGCTATGTGTGTATTTCTTGGTTATGGTGAAGGCCAAAAGAGGTATCGATGTTATGATCATGTTGCTCAAAAGTTGTATGCGTCTCATCTTGTGGTGTTTCTTGAGCATATTCCTTTCTTTTCTATTCCCTCAAGCTCTACTACTTTGAGTTGATTTGTGTTTAAGGTTTTAGGTTCAAGTCATGGGTGCAACATTAATTGATTCATTTTTACAAGTGTATGGTAGCTTAGTTGGCAGTGTTTGAGATTTTACTTATCAAAAAAAAAGCTCTACTACTTTGAGTTAGTCTGATTTCCTTTATATTGATCCCTTTCCTGATGAAATTTTTGGTACGTCTTCCGTTGATGATGTACCTTTGTCTGATGTTTCATCTTCTTCTGCAACGACATCTTCTTATGCACCAGCATCTTCTTCTGTTGTTCCTCCTATTATTCACACTTACACTCGCATGAGTAAAGTAATTTCTTGTGCAGGTACATCTCCTCCATCTCTCTCAATTGACTCTTAATTAGTTTCTAATGACGTGGATCCTCCCATCCTCGCTATCCACAGCGCATTCGTAAGAGTCCTGATTGTTTGGGTTTTTCTAATTTTTGTTATTCTACTACTTTCTGTTCTTTTTTGGCATCTATTCATTCTCTTTCTGAGCCTAACTCCTATAATCCCCTTTGGCAACAGGTAATGGATGAAAAGCTCTCTGCTTTGCATAAGACTGGCACATGAGACTTGGTGTCGTTACCCTCTGATAAATGTGTAGTTGGATGCAGGTGGGTGTATAAAATAAAGACCAAGTCTGACGGCTCTGTTGAATGATATAAAGCATGTCTAGTTGAAAGAGGATTTACGCAAGAATATGGAATTGACTCTAAGGAAACCTTTGCTCCTGTAGCCAAAATGACAAAGATTCACACATTGATTGCTATTACTTTGTTCACCAGTGGGATTTGTCACAGCTCGATGTCAAAAATGCCTTCTTTGAATGGGGACTTGAATGAAGTAGTTTATATGACTCCTTCTCATAGTCCTGGTGAGGTGTGCAGACTTAAAAAGGCATTGTATGGTCTCAAACAAGCTCCTAGAGCTTGGTTTGCGCTCTCTAGGTGATCTGTGCTTTGGGTTTTCGTTCTAGTAATCATGATTCTACTCGTTTTCTTTGCTCCACTTATGTCTGTATTATTCTTCTTTTGTACGTTGATGACGTGACTTTTAAGTCTCAATTACAGCAGCAGTTTGAGATGAGGACCTTGGTCTCTTTGTTATTTTATTGGCATTGAAGTAGCTCATTCTCTCAAAGGTAATTTACTCTCTCAGTCCAAGTGATGCAGGCAGAATTTCAAATTTCCTGCAATGGAATTTGTCTTTTTCAGAAACTTTCCATATTTTGAAACTTTCCTTATTTTGAGTAGTTTTATGATTTTCATCTATTTTGATATTATTTTATATTTGGTACTTAGCTAATATATAAGGCTAGGATTGGGGAGGAAGAAACTCTATATAAAGACTTGTAATTGCTACGGTTTAGGGATTAGTGAATAGATTATTATTTTTACAGCAAATAAAGTTTGCTTTGCAACTTTGCAATTCTCCTTTCTCTAGCATTATTCTTTTATTTCGTTTTAATATTGTTGTGAAGACGATTTGATCGTATCCTCTTGGTAGGGCGGCATCAATTTGGTATCAGAGCTTTGGTTCGGCTTTCCGACTGCTCAGTCATGCCTCAACGACAACTATTAAGATGCAGGTTCTGTCTGAACCCTTACCCAAGCAACACGAAAGCGAGATAGAGTTTTTGTGGAGACAAGTTGAGTTGTTGACTCAACTATTGGGTCAACGTGTTGTCAACCCGCCGGTTGGTGACAATGTTTCGGTGGATAAGGATGTGTCAGACACAGAAACTATTGCGAAAAATTCGTTCCATTTTTAGCATCGCCATAGATCACTCGACGAGTGGACTGATCGTTGTTGGCCGACATATATCAATTTTCAGATTTTTGTTTTTCATGAGGATAATCTTGAAGAGGATTTTGTTAATCCTTTTTGCAGCAATACAACACCTATTTTATTTGATGAAAGGCGTTGAGATGATGACTTTGAGGAGGAAATTCCTGAATTTGCAGGATATCTTAGTGGAGGAGAAGAACAGCCACAAGAAGAGGAGGAATCTACTATAGAATCATTTGTTGACTGGAGTAAGCCTCCAATTTTTTATGAAGAACCACACATTAAACCACACGAGTCAAAAAAATCTATGAATTGCGATGAATTAGAGATCTTTTATAAGGAAGTTACAAAAGAAGAATTTCATAATGAAGGATACGTGGTTGATGATGAAGCTTCTGGATCCATGGGGATGAAAAATAATGAATTTCACTTTTATAAACATAATTTGTAATGAATTCTTGGAGCGTACAAGAAAAATTAAAGTTGATTACACTTTTAGTTCAAGATACATGTACCACCGAGTTTTGTAAACCTACCCAAATTTCAAAGGACCTCTAGAAAAATCCATGTTTAGTATGCGAGTGTATTCTTTGTCAGTATAAGAAAATTAACGTCTTTGATTCAAGGTCGGAAAAGAAGAAAGAAGGGATGGAAAGCCATGCTCGGATTTTTGATTGATTGTGGAAAATTGCTCCAAACTCGAGGGCAAGTTTTTTCCAA